GTCATTCGAGATGGCAGCCCGCACCATCAGGCGGTCCGCGAGCTGGCATTGAGCATTCGTGCAGCACTTGCGGGGCAGCCCGAATCGTCTCGAGGCGGTCCGCGAGCTGGCATGGCGCCCATGGCCAAGAACGACGCGACGGTCGCGCCGGAGACGGAGCGGCGCGCGCGGGACGTGCTCGCGGCGCAGGACCGCGAGACCGTCAAGAGCATGGTGAAGCTGATCCCTGATATGACCGAGGCCCAGCTGAAGAAATGCATCGCGCGCTGCGGGGGGTCGACGAAGGGCTGCAAGCCGGGCGCCGCCGCGCTCCGCAAGCGCGCGACCAAGGTCCTCACTAAGGTCTGCGAGCTCGAGAGCTACGACAAGCTCTGCGACATCCGCCTGGGCCTCCAGAAGGTGCTCCGGCCGCCGCCGCCCGCGCAGGAGGGCCGCTACGACACGTCCAAGGAAAAGTTCGAGAAGCGGCACTCGGCCGAAGTCAGCGGCACTGGCAATCGCGCCCTCGATCACCTCGAGCGGGGCCAATATGACAAGCTCGAGGACCTGCACGCGGTCTTGCAGGGCGACCCGGGGTGGTCGGCCTTCACGCGCTTTTCTGACGTCATGCGGACCGCGTACGAGAAGCTCGAAAGCGACCCGGGCGCCGAAACGGTCCGATCCTTGTTGTATCGCGCCGACGCGGCGGTCGCGTGTTTCAAAGGCGACCGACCCGGGCCGCGGAAGACGCTCCACTCGCTCCTCGCGTCGTTTCGCACGATCGTGCTGATGTTCTACGGCGACGCGCTCCTCCGCGGGAGCGACGAGCGCCTCGAGAAGCTCGAGGCCACGCACGCCATCTCCAAACGAGGCGACGACACGTTCGCGCGCGCCATGGGCGCCTTCTTCCTCGCGAACGAGCTCCACATCTTCCGACGTGACTACGGGCGATGCGTCCCGCTCTACCGGGAGGCGAGCGCGTGCCTCGCCGTCTACAACGCGGGAGGCGCGACGCGGGTGCTCGCGCTGACGAAAGTCATGGTGGACATCCAGCTCCAGACGTCGCTCACGCAGTCGGACCAGTGGGCGCCCGCGGCCAAGGTCATCTCGGGCTGCGTCGCCGCCGTGGAGTCGCTCCTCGGGCTCGACGGCGAGTACGCCGCGATCCCCGCCGACGCGCCCGAGAGCCTCGTGCTCTTCCTCGCCAACGCGCTGACGAACCTCGAACGGAACCGCGAGCCGGAGGTCGACCGCCCGAGGGCGTGGCGCAAGCTCCTGGCCATCGCGCGGCACCTCGGCGAGGCGTCCGAGGCCGAGCAGATCGAGGTCAAGCTCAGGCACGAGGCGAACTGCGCGAGGGAGGTCGACGCGATGAAGGCGAAGCTGCGCGCGAACGCGGCGGCCGTCAACCAAAACGACGATTCGCCGTTCGGCGAGTCCTTCCTGTTGGCGGCGCCCGTCGAGGCCGACGACGAGGACGTCGCGTGCGCCGCGTGCAAGGAGGAGGTCCGTGACCGGACCTGGACCTGCGCCAAGTGCGAGCTCGTCGTCTACTGCGACGCGACCTGCAGGAAGACGCACGCGAAGGAGCACCGGCTCAAGTGCAAGGGCCCGGCCCAGTGGCTCGACATGGACAACCGCGTGCTCTCCGCGGAGGCGCGCGACGCGCGGCGGTGCGTCGTGTGCGACGACGCGGGCGACGTCGTCGTCACCGTCGAGTCGGTCGGCCGCCGGCGGGGCGCCGACGTCTTCTTCTGGGACGCGGACGACCCGCCGCGGGAGCGCGACCGCGAGTTCTTCCCCTGCCGCTGGCGCCTCTGCGCGTCGCCGGCCTGCCTCGGGACCGAGTACGCGGCCTCGGGGCGCCTCGCGACGAAGGCGAGGACCCTGCACGGCCTCGCGCTCCGGCATCGCTTCTCGACCCGGAAGTTCCGCGACGGCACGGGCGCCGTCGCGCAGATCCGGGCCTCGGACCACTTCCACGACGCGATGATCCGCCGCGACAGGAACGCGGCCGACAACGGCTACACGCTCGTCGCGCGATCCAAGGACGACCTGGGCCTCCAGGGCGGCCTCAACTCGGTCCCGTCGGACCCCGCCGCGCGCGCCCGCCTCGGCATCGAGCTCCCCGCGAGGCTCGAGAAGAAGGTCTGCCACTTCTGCGGCACCATCCTCATGCAGTCCAAGACGCTCCGGTGCTGCGGCGACGTCCGCTACTGCGGCGCCTACTGCCAGACCCTCAGCTGGCCCGAGCACCGGATCGTCTGCGCCCACGCGAACCCGAACTAAGGAGCGTGCGCACCACCTTAGGACTCCCCCGCCTCGTCCTGATCGACGGTCGGCGCCTCCTCGGCGTCGAGGAAGGAGAGCGCGAAGTCGTTGTCGTCGACGAGGGCCAGGAGCGCGCGGTGGTGGAGGAGCATGGCCTTGTGCGCGGCGCGCAGCGCCGGCGCCTCGTCGCGCAGCGCGTCCGCGTGGACGTGCAGCAGGCTCCGGATCCAGGACGCGAAGAACTCGAAGTGGGGCGAGTCGTCGAGGCGCGCCGCGAGCACCTCGAGGAGCCGCGGCGCGCGCGCGGGCGGCACGCCCCTCACGACGACGTCGACGTTGGCGAGGCGGACGCCCGCGACGACGGCGTTGAGCGTCTCCGCGTCGCCGAGCTGGAGCGCCATGGCCGTCGCCCGGGCGTCGTCGCCCTGCTCCAGCGCCTCGAGGCAGGACGCGGTCGTCACGTTTTCGTCGACGTCGAACGGCGCGAACGTCGCCGCGTCGTCGCGCGTGAAGAAGAGCAGCGCGCCGGGCGTCGCGGCGACGAAGGCGTTGCCCGTCGGCGCGAAGGCCACGGCGGCGACGGACGTCACGGCCCGCGCGAGCGCCGCGCCCGCGCGGCGGCTCCGCTTCGCGCCGGGAAGCGCGTCCGCGTCGTCGTCGTCGTCGTCGGCCGCCGCGCGGCGGTTGCCCGCACCCGCGGCGTCGCGCCAGTGCTTGACCTCGTCGAGGTCGCCCAAAGGCGCGTCGTCGTCGTCGCTGCTGGCGCCGTCGACGGCGCCCGCGTCGCGCGCGTTCGACACGCGGAATTTCGCCACCAGCACCTTCTGCGCGACGGCGTAGACGCAGACGAAGCGCGAGTTGCCGCCGGCGAGCACCGTCGCGCCGTCGACGGAGAAGGCGACGGACGTGAAGTGGGGCTTCTCCCGGCGCGGCCGCTTGCTCAGGAAGCGGTCCGACCGCTCGAGGTCGCGCGTCGCGTCGACGACGGCCAGCAACCGCGCGTCCTTGGGCTCCCACACGTGGAGCGCCCCGTCGAGGCACGCCGCCACGAGCTGGCCGCCGTCGCGCCGCCAGGCGATGGCCAGCACCTCCGCGGGGTGCTCGAGCTTCTCCACGTGCTCGTTG